AGGTTTATTTTTTCCCAAATATTTCATTTACTTTATGAGAAATGAATAGTTATGAGAAATATCTATTTAAAACTATATATGAAATTGTACCCATGTTTTCAGGACTCAAATATCCAGCAAATTCTGGGAGAACACCTTATTAATAGTCAAGAAGAGTCATCTTGTACAAACTCAGAGGAACAACAATATCCATGAGATTCTCAAAAGTTGCAAACACTTTCAAGTCTCTTAACAGTTTTAATTAGGAAATGTCTAATGATGGACAAATGAATTCATTATTTCTCTTAAAGGTTAGTCAGAGTCTACATTTCCCAGGGTCTTAGAGGTTTTCTTTATGAGAATGTTCAAAATTAAAGTCAGAAAAATGAGATTGATATTCACTTGTAATCTACTAGCAAACGCTATAGGTTGATCCTAATTCCAAAAATGTTTTGCAAGCCATAATCGCTATTTAAAGCTCATGGGAACTTTCTAACATAATTCATTAGTGATGGCTTCACATGTTTGATTCATCACTGTAAAAATCAATCTTTATGAGACTCTAGAAGTTCCTAAAGAATTATATAATGGTGAAGTTCATTGAAATCCAATAACAAATGATAATCTTTAGGTGCAGAAAGGGATAATCTTACTCCAAGGCTGGTGTAATTTGGGAACAGATCACATCCTGTAATCTATTGTGAGTGGCTGCCCTAGGACTGGTGAAAGTAGAGGCCTGGAAATACTTCTGGAGTTCTGAAGTGGTTCTTGGTGGTTGTGTGTGGGTGTGTGAGTGTCCTGGTGTGTGTGCATACATGTGTGTGTGTGTGTGTGTGTGTGTGTGTGTGTGTGTGTGTGTGACTATGTGGTGGTTCTGGTGGGAATGAGGGTTCTAAATATTACAATGATGAATTATTAAATAATAATACCAGGTATAATACTGTATTTCAATACAAAATTAGAGGGACTGTTGGATTCTAAAATCCATGGAGAGAGTATAGAAATGCTGGGATGGGAGGGAGATGAAGACAGGGTTTGAGCCTTCAGCTGCCGGACAGGCCATCACATAAGTATGGCACTACCCTTTATAATATGTTCTCCTGGCTGCACCTCCATTCCTAATATAAAAAAAAAGAGAGCTTATTTTGCATCATGTCCAAATTTATTCATTGTTCTCTAACTGCACTACTCCTGCAAATGTCTTCAGTTAAAGGAAGAGTCTGAGATGTAGAAACGGGTACCTATTTCAGATGTCAATCAAGTAGAATCCACCCTAAAAAGTACATAAGGTCAGCAGAGCAAAGTGATTAAAAGCACAGGCTTTGGGCTAGTTCCTGGGGCTATTGTAACAAATTTCCACAAACTTAGTGACCTTCAGTCTCTTCTTTAATTTTGGGTGCTATTGAAATGACAGTTTTTCTGTTACAGCTGCAGGCATTAGTATCTTTCAAACTCAGGAAAAATGCTTTGAGTGTTTTTTTTTAAACACTTTAAAGGTATGAAAGATTATTTTAACATGCCTTCTGTTTAGATATATGTATCTTAGTGGAATTAATTTATATGGTTTAAAAATAAGCATTGCATTAATAGAATATATGCAATAATAAATTGAATAGTAAGTTATCATTTTCATATTTTTTCCTTTCTGCTGAAAAGCATGATTCATACTACAGTGAAAAATGAATCTTGTAGAAGATACCCAAGGATATAAAAGTGCATTCAATCTCTTAAAAAGTATCTATCTTGTTCTCTTAGAGTCTAACAATAATACCTGGCAAGGATAGCGAATGTAAAATCCCTGACCACTTAGTCTAATTTGCCTCCTTTTGGTAACTCCTTTTATTTTATACCACTGTATCCCACTTTATTTCCTTTATAGCATTTGCCATTATATTGTTCATTTATGTGTTTATTTATTATCTTCCTCCCTACTTGGAGAATATGAAACTTTGTACTGTTTGCTGTGACATTCCCATCACCTAGAACAACACCTGGTCCAGAGAAGGCATTCACTGAATATTTATTGACTGGGCAGATAAATAAAGCAGGTAAGTAATTAAAATAAATAGCACAAATTTACAAAAATTCTGGAGTGTAAAAAAATAATTGGATTAGTAAATGTTTGCCCCTATAGAAGTGCATTATATGAAATCACTAATGTGTATTCATTTCAGATAATTTCAGCCATTACTGAGATAAATCTAAATACCTCAAACACACAATTTTTCTGTCTCATGTATTTAATTACTATTTTAGCCCACAAGATTCCACAAAGACTGTAGGATTTACTACATTAGGTTACAAAAACCTCTGAAAGAAAAAAAAAAGGAAAGAATGAATAGAGGATTTATTTTTTAATGCTGTTGGTTTGTTTTTTCCTTACAGAAAATATCTAAGCTTATACATGTCCAAGATATTTATGTTTTATTCCCAAACAGCAAAATCTTTATAGCCTTGTACTTCAAACTACAGGAATTTATCTGACTCAGAATTTTTACCAAGCTTACAAAATCATTTGTCAAACCAAACATTGCCTCTCAATCTTCAGGTTGGATGGTGGTAGCTAGATGAGTGAATGTATACTTAATTGTTCTGATTCTAAGAATCTTAAGTTGTCATTTACCAGGTTTCTGTTTTGACATGATAATCACTTATCATACCTTCTATTATTATTCCCCTTACTAGAAATAAAAAAGATTAATAAGAAGATATTAATCTGTACCTTGTATAATAATATCAAAATATTAAATATATTTCAGGTGAAAAACTGCAAAAAGTGCAGCATAGGGAATATAGTCAATAATATTGTAACAATGACAGATAACTGCATTCATCATTGTGAGCATTCCATAATGTATATGTGCTGAATCACTATGTTATATACCTGAAACTAATATTGTATAGCAACTATATATCAAATAATAATGAGTAAATTATTTAAAGTGTTCTCATAACCTTCATACTACTACAGCAACACTACAAATAGGCCTGGAAGTAAAGGAGCTACAACTCTCACTACTACTGCTGTGGCCGTGGTGGAATGCAAAGAACCACAAGTGTCCCCGTAAGATGTTGTTATTAAAGTTAGAATTATTAGCCAGAACATTCCCTTACAGCCCAGGAACTGCTACATGGTGAAAAGAAACCAAGGACTCTCTATATACATTTCAGTCCTTTTTGAAAATGTCCAGACAATCCAAAGGCATCCACTTGGAAAGTGCAAGTTCATTGTCCTTCTAAAGCTGTCAATCCCCTATCACCTGATACCACATGACAGAGAAAAGGAGGCAGGCAGCCTTTGCCACATCCATTTAAAAGTAAAAATCTTAACTCTAATTATAGACATTCCCTGGGAATGTTAAATCATAGTGGATTTACGTTGCCTTAATCAGTAAACTATAAAAAAGGCAAAAATAGGGTTACTTTTTATTTTAGTACTTCATTTGTCACTTCTGGAAAGTATACATTTTATCACTAAAGGTTTGATGTAAAATGAACCCAAGTTGAATGAATAATCTTTTGTATGCTGCCCCAATTCCTTCTGAAGGACAGGAGAGACCACCATTCCTTACCACTCAAGCTGTACATAATTTTAGTCCATGTCTGCTTTTATTTCCTCCCCCTCCTCTCTGATTCATTCTGCACTCCACTACCACATTGATTCTTCTAGAATATTTTGCCATTCACATTATTCTTTGGCTCAAGAACATTTCCCATCTCTTAAGTCTTCAGGATTTGATCCAAGCCCTTGGCTTCACACCAAAGGTGTCCCATTTCTCCACCTTTCACTCTCCACGGGTCTTCTGTCGCTATCGCCTGCAAACAAACCTCCAGTAGTCCCCACTTAATGTTCCCCTCATCCTCTTTCTGTAGCATGTGCTTTGTTGTTGTCTTTGTGTTTATTTGTTTTATGGAACCTCTGGGTACTGAAATATCTTCCTCTCCCTTTTAACATTATTCTTTTAAGATCTAATGCAATATGACTTTCTCCACAAAAGATTCTCTGAGAAAGACACCCTTTCCTTACTGCAGATTCTTAATGGGCATTCTCCATTAAACATTTCTTCATATCTGCTTTGAACTTATTAATTAAATTAAGTGGTGCAAAGTCTTTACATTTTTGTGTGCTTATATTACATCCAAACGTAGGTTGTTGACTACTTGAAAGCACTAGCCATTTCATAAATTCCTTTAATCTCTTGTGATAGCTAGCACAATGTCCTTCATATAAGCACACAAATAATGTACCCTAAATCAAGGATTTTTAAAACATTTCATAGGTAATTAGGCTGTGTATGTCAGGAAACTGATGTACAGAATCTTTAGTTAACATGCCCAGATGGTGACTAGCAGCCAAAGATTTGGTATGCTTGAATATTAAAGATCTCTTCTATTTATGGCAAAGTTATATTATTTCATTACTTGACTGATTGTTCTTAAGCCAAGCAATTTATGAAATCCACTAATTTTAATAAAGTATATGGACATACGGCTTGTATTATATAGTTGCAAATAAAAATGGGTATAAACAATTAAAATTTCTCTGGGGATTCTGATATTTCAAGGGCAACTCTAGAGAACTCAAATTTAATGACATAAAGAAGTAATATGCAATAATTACAACAATGTGGGCATTGATGTCTTTTAATGTACTTGGAGTGACATGACTGATAGTCTAGTGAGAACCAAATATTATCAAAGTCTCTAATGTCCCATTAAATCTTAAATTCTTCAATATAGCACTGTAAACATATATTTGTATCCATTTTCCAGGTGGATATATAGCTCAGTTTAATTCCTGTAATATTTCAGATGCAGCAGACAATTGCAAGTTCAATATAATATGCTGGCATGTGAAAAACATGTAGAAATAATGTAACTGTAGAAAATTAAATTAACAAATATTTAAAAAACAGTAACTTGGATTCTGGTTAATATTAGTTCAACACGCATTGGAGTTATCCTTTTAAAGTGCCTTATCTCTGAGCAGTTCGATGTTTATGTTACATATTGTGACTTACCATCTTTCAGAATGGTTTCTCGCTCTGTGCCATCTATCTTCTGCCGGCCAATTAGGAAACTGGTGGTATCAGCAAAGTAGATATAATTGGTTTCTGCATGAAAATCTAAAGCACGAGGGTTTACCAGATTTTCAATGGGGATCATGTATTCATCAGCTATCTTGGTATTCAAATCCATTCCTCTAACAATTCCTGGGCGTCCTTTCCCATAAAAGAGGAACAATTCATTCTTTGGTCCTGGAGAAGAAAGATTACAAACATAAACAACTGATGCTGCCTAATCTTCTTTACACTGCATAATGCCACGATTTAATTAACTGGCACAATTACTGTTTTTTAAATTCGATACCAAAAATTAAACTCTAAAATATGCCAAATGTATCTTGGTGCAAGAAGGCCAGCTAATTGGATTACTTTAATTAAAACAGAAATTACTTCACTGAATGAGTTATACTTAGTTAATTATTCTTTTGTCTGTAACTATATATCAAAAACATGACAGATCACTGGATAACTTGTAAACTGTAAAATGGACATTTATTACAACTTCTGGTACATTTAACTTTACAATTCATTACAATCTATCTAACACATTCTAGAGATGCTAACTGCAGCATTCATTATGTTTGACAATGCTAAAGATTCAGAATATTTAAGGCATTACCCTGCTTTGCATCTATAGACTTTCAGAGGCAAACAAAAAAAAATCAGACAGTATCACATACTTGTGTGCTAACATATTACATTTGTCTAAATGTGCGATTTATTATTTTTTAAGAAATGAAATCCAGTGCCAGTTACAGCCTAACTTTTTTTCTGCATGTCTTAATTGCAATGTTAGAAGTTGATGCCTCTGATTGTATAACACAGTGCTTATTAAAATCAAAACAAAACAAACACAGCCCCCCAGCCTCCAGTCTAAGAAAAAAGAAAAACTATCTTCTGGTTTAAAATGCCAGAATTGAAGTAGTTTTTTAGTAAATTGACACTTTCAGACTTTTATATGAAAATATATGCAAGTCTCTCCAATTGTTAAGGTATCCTACAATTAGTTTAGTCTATATAATTCAGAAATAAATTCTCTACATGAAAAAGAAAACATATTAAGCTTTATTAATAAATCTGAGTATGCAAATGACTCATTATATTTTGGACAACAATACCATAAGTGAAATGCCTAGTAGAGTTAAATTACTACATTATAGAAAATCTGAAGGGAAAAGAAAAAATAAGTAATTAGTAACAAGATCAAAACCCTTAATATAAACTATACTATTGTATATATTTTCTTTCTACATTAGTGTTATTGAATATTAAATGCATATGAACATTTATTAAATGTGTATAAATATTTAATGAATATATATTAAGTGTATGAATATTTAATGAATATATATTTAATATATAAAGAATAAAAATAAAACAAATCCCATGTACCTAGCGCAGATCTGAAGAATATTTCCAGAGCATTTGAAAGCAAGCACATGTCCCAAACCCATCCCCCTTACATCTCACTGACACCCAATATCCTGATTATTGTCCTCATCATACATTTTTAAAAAGTTTTAGCATATATATTACATGTATTTCCCAAAAGTAGATTGTTTAATTTTGCATATTTGAAGTGCTTGTGTGAACTTATGTGAGTTAATTTTGTTCTTATACCATTCTTGCTTTCCACCCATGGTTGTTGTACTCATCATTCATTCATTTTTCACTGCTGTGTTATAGTCCATTGTGTGACTATTTAAAATTTAATTTATCTAGCTATTTTCCTAATGCACAGTCATTTGTAGAAGAGGGCATTCAATTTTACATTATGCTTTTATTAAAACTTAGCATCAGAATTATTTTCTGTATTCATCCATCATTTTAACCCTTATATGCTTTCAGTATGATCAGTATGATATATAATTCACCAAACCATTAACCAGTTGGTTTTATCTTTTCATCAGAATAATAATACTGAGACAAGCATTTTTCAACTTAGCATTTTATACATTTTTTTAGATGATCTATTACACATTTCCAGAGATGGAATTAGTGGGCAAATAATATTAACATCTTCATTACCCTTACAGCTTTTTAGTGTCTACCTACTTTTAAGAGTATTTTCTTTAAAAACTGTATTTTATATTATTTAAAAGTAGTACAGATTCATTTAGAAATTAATATTCCTGAGTATTTCTTACCAACTTTACATGTATAGATACTTTTGTTTTTTAAAAAATAGGGGTCTTCTATAGAGAGGAACTATCATATAATCAGCAACTTCTCATTATTGGACATTCTAGTGTGTCTGGGTTTTATCACTGGAAATAAATACACTTACAATGAATTCTTCAGTCAAAATTGGGTAACTTCGTAAAGGATATTGTCAATTTTATTTATTTTTATATGTTTTATCAAATATCTTTCCAATAGTGATGCCAATTTCCAATTCTATTTGCATCACTTAAGAACTCTGTTTACATCACACCTATTTTTCTTAATATTTGCTCTTGCTTATGTTTTTAACTGGTGATTGTAAACCTGGTACTTCACTGATGCATGTACGTGTGTGTGTTTTAAATAAGAATGGTAACTAGTTGCTCTGTTGTTTCTTTAGTCGCTTTTTTAGTCAATATACCTCTTTTAAAGTTTCTTTCAGTGTTTTCCTGTATTACAGACAACTGAAAATGAAAACTACCTTTAAAGATACTAATATAGCCATAGTTCTGGTTTTGATTGAAGTACCTAAAATCAGATGTACTAGCTCAAGTTTGAAATATGGAAACGAGGTACCTTTCGCTTCTTCTGGTATGCATTAAATGGAAAAACTGAATTTTCCCACATCAGTCTTCTTCTTTTGTGTATATCAGCAGGCAAGGAAGAGGGTGTTACTGTGCTTTTCGTTTGTTTCCCAGTAGGGATTATCAGTTGTGACATATTACTGGAGCTGATAGTTGTACGTGTAAGTTATAGATCCTTGAACATGAGACCTGCTATCTTTATACTCCCAGAATTTAATACAAAATTAGAAAAGAAAAAAAATACTAAAATGCATATATTTTATTACAATTGAGCTTCTTGCGTTCACTATTTAAAAGCATTTCTACTATTGATTCTAAACAATTGGACTTAATAATTATAACAATTAGTGGCTTCATTTCATAGTCCTCAGCAAGTACATGACAATAAGTAGAAGAGATGGCAGCACAGTGACCAGAGGAAGCACTGACAGAAATAAAAAGCCATCGCTATGACAAAACACATACTGTAAAACACAGTCATTATAACTTTAAAAATTACAGCATTTGGGGGACATTTAAAGACCAACAGTCTTAAATTGACTCTATTTCTGTAAGGACCATTCTACTGTATTTGATCATGAACACCCCAAATAAAGGCCTTAACTAATCTTTGTATAAAATTTTTTATTTAAATTTACAAAAGTCATTTATTTAAAAAAAGTTACCTTTTTTAAATAAAGAACAATGAAATTATTCTGGACTATTTCAAATATATATATATACACACATACTATAAAGTTTTCAGTAAAATTGTTATACAGATTGGTATCCAATTAGTATAGCCCTGGTTACCTATATTTATTTATTCACTCCACAATGTTGCTGGATAAGGTGAAACATTACGTGAATTTCTGTTGGACTACACAGCACACCTATTACTAGCAGTAGCATCTTGGTTCAAATAAGAGAAAATCAGATCAACCAATGATTTGTGCTCATTAGATTAAAATCATACTTTAAGGAATTAAGGAAAAGATCTTCCTAAAAATCTTCCCTAAAGGATGTTTCTGAAGATCTACAAATTTAGTGCCTTTACAGCCTGATTCAATTTCTCATTCACATTGTCTCCCTCTCTCACACACACACACTAAATACTGAGAAACATGGCTGGTATGTATTTGCAGGCAAATTTCACCTGATGAAATCTCATGTAATAACTGATGTCGACGCTGCTAAATGGTACTAAAAACCAAATTTTGAAGCTATAGCTGCTGGCAAAATGTTTTATTTTAACAACATACTTTTGCACGACTTGCCATCACTTCCCAAGTTGAAGCCAGTCCTGCAGCGACAGGTCCGTGTTTTGTAACTGCTGCAGAGCAGACATATGTGTGAACATCCCCCTGGCATTCCATATGGATCCACTTCACATGCCTGGCTTCTGACTGCAACACATAACAAACAGTGCACTTGAAATTCTCCGAAGACAAGATAATTATGTGCATCAGTATGTCAAAACTTTTCACAGTGCAAAAAGAGGGAATCCTTGTAAAAACCTACACATGAAACTGTTTAATGCCTTAATCAATTGGAAAAAAGTTCAAACCTCATAAAAGAAAAGGTAAGGATTTGCCAAAATGCTCCTCAGGCTATATTAAAAATATATATAATTAATAAATAAAATGCTTTTATGTTAATTTGTTTGCATATAAGCAAAATAAAAGTAATATGATTTTTTGGTATATACTTGTACTTTTTTAAAACATTCATTCCTTACAAATATAAAAAGGCACTGTAAAAATGTCACAGGGTAGGTGATGAGCAGAGAACGGATTTATTTTTAAAGAGTCCATTATATGGGTACCAACCTAGAAGAAATACGATTCAGTGGCTGTCTTTATTGAGAAACACTGAGAAAAAAATATTTTTCTCTCAATTTTGTGGCCATGACCATTTGAGAAACTTACCACAAAATGAACTGTGTGTGTGGGTGTGTGTGATATTGTAATTGTCAAAAGGGGGCAGAATTTGTGCATGGAGATTGAGGAGTAGAGAATATTTCATGAGCATAGAAGTTAGAGAAGAAAAAAATAGGAAAGTATTATATGGAGAGGATGAGAGAAGGAAAGATGGATTAAAGAGAAAAGGCTACAGTAGAAATAATGTCAGTAAGATTTTATATATTATTGTGATTATATTTCTTTTCTATCACCATTTGAAAGTATAATGAATAACGTGGCAATTTTCTTTTAATAATAAAACTGCAATGCTTTTAAAATTTATGCCACATGATTTTCATATGCCTCATTCTCTAAATGAAAAGATGAGTGAAATGTAGTCTGAACTAGTTTTTCACACAGTGTTGCTTTTATTTGCCAGTCTCACTCCATTTCTATACTAGATCAGATCTCTTCTCACATACTCAGCAACACTCCACTTTCTTTCATCATTATTTCTGCCCTTTCCATTGCATCTTGGGGGAAAAATTTCTTGTCTTAACCTTAATTCCCACAGCAATCCCTCAGTTAGCTCCCCATTTCCCTGTTCAGCCTTCCCTTGCCACTTCTCGAGGTTATCGATGCCCATTTTCTACAGTTCCTTTGCTACCTGTCTCTCAGACCCACTCTACCCAGACATTCACTTTACCACAAAACTGCTCTCATCAGATCCCTATAAGCTTCAGCTGCTAAATGCAATGGCCAGTAGATTTAACAAGCTTCTTCTCAGTCTCCTATCTTGGTTCCTCCCATTCCATCTGACTTCTCAGTGGAGTGTCCCAGAGTCTATTATTTGCAGTTCTTCTCTTCCCTATCTATAGTTACTTCCTTGGTGACCACATCCATTTGTATGGCTTTAAATGTCATCCATATGCCAATGACTCCCAAATTGCTATCTCTATCCTGGACTTCTCCCAGAACTCCAGACTTGTATGTTCAAATACCTCCTTGATATCTCCAACTGAATTCATAATATATATTTGAAATAAATGTGAGAGTTATACTTTCTTTGCCCTCAAATTTGCCCCAAACTTAGGTTCCCTAATCTCAGAATAACTCAATTATTTGAATTGCTCAGCTCAAAACATTGTCATCACTTTTTACTTCTTCTTCTTCTTCTTCTTCTTTTTTTTTTTTACTCCCCACCTCCAATCCATCAGGAAGTCCTGTTGGCAGTACCTTTCAATATAACTTGAATATAACTACTTCTCACCACCTTCACTGCTACCATCCTAGTCCAATTCACCATCCTTTCTAACCTTCCACCCTTGTCCCCACAACCTATTGTCCACACAGTTGCCATACTGATTCCTTTACAAAGCCATTCAAATTATGAGATGACTCTTCTTCCTAAGGACTCCCAGCTCACTAAAAGTACAAACATTTTTACAATTGTCAATAGGGCCATTTGTTTGGGTCCTCTTGCAGTTCCCCAACCTCATTTCCGAGTTCTTTTGTCCTTGTATACTCTATTCTAAATACACAGGTCTTCTAGTTGTTCCTTGAATGATCTAAACACGCTCTCCCTCATTGTCTTGTGCATACTCACCTCTCCACCTGCCATGCTCGTGTCTCTCTTCCTCAGTTACTTCAAGTCTTCATTCAATTAATCTTTTCAATGGGACTTCTCTGACCATCCAATATAAAATTGCAAACTATCCCCATCCCTAACATTCCTTATCCTCCTTATATGCTTTACATTTCTCTATAGTATTTATCTTCTAATACAGTAATGATTTACTTTGCTATTTTTTAAATTATATCTTCTAACCTAGGATGTGAATCTCATAAGTTTTTATTTTGTCTATTTTATTCACTGCTCTATGTAGAATAGTTCCTGATATATAGTAAATGGCCAGTGAATCATTAGTGAATGAATAAGTGCTGATATCAAACGCTACTGGTACCTAGAGAATTCTAAGTATGAATTTACTATAAATATATTTGTGACAACAACACATTACATCAATTGAATCTGTTAATGTTTATATAATTCTAAATTAATTTTAATTTAAAGCACAAAAAGAGGATGGATATTTTGGGTGGTGGGTTTTGTATGTCACATTTTATAAGATTGAGCCTAAACTGGATTGATGAATAAGCATCACTGACCCAAAATGGAAAATTACTAGTTCATATTTTTGAGAAATACTTAGAAACATTGCAAACTTCTCAATAAAAGTTTCAAATTAATATGTGTTAAAGAACAAATGGGATGCTACATCAAGAAACCCCAAAGAAAAAAAAAGGACAGATACTAAAAAGGAAGTCACCTGATTAAAAATTTGTCTCTCAGAATGACAGCAAAAACAAAACAAAACAAAAAAATCCTTAGCATTTTGGCATCTGAGTTTTCTGTCTATATATATCACAATTGAAAGCTCCTTCCTGAATATAAATCTAGCCATCATTTCAATTCTATGGCTGTAGAAATGAATCACTAGGAACTGAATGATTTGTCATTTAGACTTGTGGAGGGGGCTCTATTCCATTTTACTGAGCAGACATGTATACTTTGCTACCAAATACAGAATTTATGAGTCACCTCCTTCAACACCATACAAAAGCATAAGGACTACATCCCCATTCAATCCACCATTATGGAGACTCTAAAGAAGTCTTGGATCTTACCTGTTGGCTGAGCTCTTTTTTGATAGATTCGAATTCCACGAGCATCTTCCATTTTAATTAATGAGTGAATTTCACTGCCATTAAATCGGTTTATCCTTATGATATTGACATCAGAATTGGTTGCATACAAAAAGTCTTCAAACACAGTTATACCATAAAGATGTCTGACCTATAAAGTGGGGCAAAGATAAATATGACTTTTAATTATGCTGCTTTCAACTGGAAAGAAAAACTGGTTGCTATTTACTGCTGTGGAAAATTCCCATAGTTGGAAAGTCACAAGCATATTATCTATTTTCTCTCAAAGAATTCAACATTTCACCAATTAAAATTTTTCTCTGAGAATAAAACACGCAGTACCAGATAAAGCAGTTCCAGATGTGTGGAAGAGTTTATTCATGTTTCATTGGGAAAACATGCTCAGTAGCTACTTTCCAAAATCTAGTAAGAACCAAACTTTCAAGCATATATTCAATAATATGCTTATAGCACTGTTATATAAAATTTGAGGTATTTGTATGGGCTGCTTGTTATATAGTTAAGGATATATAAAATCTGTGACAGCAAAGCTGGCCTATGAAAGAGCTGATGAGGAAACACCTTTGAAATTTGTTTCATTAGTTCAAAATCCCATTCTTTTTTTAATGCAGGTTACATTAGACTAATATTTGTCCCAGCAAGCAAAATAATAATGAAATCACATATTTGGAATAACTGTAAATAAAGTGTCAATATTTACTCATGCTATTTTTGGGTCATCTCATTTCTTCATGTCTAAGCTAACAGTGAAAGATAAAAATTAATGGGGAGGGTCATTTTTTTCTAAAGCCTATTCATAATGGAGACAGGGCTATTTGCTTTGAAAACAGTATTTATTCTACTCATGACACTTCAGCACTGTGACTCTCCTTGGCAGAGGTCTTAGGGATTGCAAGGAGGAACAGACATCTTGAAGTCATGGAAAGCTTCCAGAAGCAGAGGAAGAATGAGTATACTGACTTTCTCCTTCAAAGGCACATGCTAGGCACACTCCCTTTGGGTATTCCCTGCATTATACTTAATTTAAGTTATGGTCCAGGGAATGATGGAGCTGTCAATTGATATGCTGTAGAGAATCTGATGAAAAAGCTTTTGCCACTATTTTTTGGCACTATATTGCATGTCAGTGCACTTTAATATAGATACATACTTAAGAAGACTTGAGAAAGTAGGTATAATTTGACTTCAAAAATTTCTATAGAACAAAGTGGCAAAATTTTCTATTTTAATTAGGAAATCTTGTCAATTCTGAACTTTAAGCAAAAAAGCATTGGATTTGTTATTTTCTTAACATATATGATTCATCATTACTATTTCTGGTTCTCTCATATGGGATGTGAAGTCTGGCTTTTGGATGCTATTTTTGGTCATATCTCATTTCTTCAAGTCTAAACTAAAAGTGAAAGAAAAATTAATGGGGAGGGTCATTTCATGTTAAAATCCCAAATAAAATTTTTCTATTTTATGTTGTTTCCAATATTTGTTTTCTTTTTTTGTGTGTGTATGTGTGTTTGTGTGTGTGTGTGTGTGTGTGTGTGTGTGTGTGTGTGTTTGTGTGTATGAGGCAGGAGAGCAGGAAGGAGGAAGGGAGAGAGGAGAGGAGGGCAGGGGAGGGGGAGAGGCCATATATGTATTTACTAATATCATTTTCCACACAGCTGACATCACATTCACTAAGTACACCAACCATCCAATTTTGACTTAAGCAATACTTTTCTTCCTATAAAAATTACAGGCAAGTGGGACCCTTCCATTACTATTAATCTCATGCATTTTTTTGCTCAAAAGTTGGGGCCATCCTTCTGGGAGTGTGTGGTTGTAACATACCTACATTGCTCTCTGTATAACTGCTAGTCCAGGTACCAGGACAGAAATCATGGCTATGGAGAGGACGACTGGTCAGGTTAGAAGACATGGTTATACAGCAAAGATCAAATTGTACTCACTGCCTCCCTGCTTTCCCTCAGAAGAGTCTGTACTTTCCTAAAGTAAGTGTATTGTTACCTGCTGTGCTAACTACCCACAGAAGAGGTGGGAGGAGCTTGAAGTGGTGGTTGGATTATTCTGCCTACAGCCCAAATGCTTCAAAAACTGATCTATGTTGGATTACTTAGTGGCAGACAAAGCATCTGTTTAGTGAGCTAGCTAAACATAGGTAAAAGAGCTGGAAAAAAAAAGGATAATTAAAAACTTCAGACATTAAAAACTTTTTAAAGTTGTCATAAGGAAAATCATTTGAATTCCTTATACTTGTTTGGTGGACTAAAATTTTAATTGTGAATAGATACAAAGGTCCATCATAATTATTTTAGAGTCTAAGTCCTCTGAAGGTCATAAATAACGGTTTCTAAAGAAATCAAGGTTTTTGGACAACTGAAGGTGAGAGAGAAATAAATGGCTTCGCCTCTAATATTGGGCACTAAACTACCGGAATCAGTGCACTTGTTTATCTGCAAGGACAGGGACAGAATTTCATTGTGAAAAGCTGATTAGAAAGGAAAAGTAACTTTAAAGAAAGATTACAGAATATTTTTGTCTTAAACTGCAAAAGAAGCAGAGATTCACATATTTCAGGTTCACGGAATAAGACTCTCACAAGAAATGAGGGCAATTAGTGAAGGAAAGGTGAATTTGAAACCGAGCATTAGTGAGGAAGGACTTAACTCCATTTATAGACCTCCTTTAGGTGTTTACTGTTATTTACAAAAACTTGTAATTCAGGAAAGGAAAAACTTTGACCTCAGTGACTTTCACAGAATTCTTGTTTTAGGAAGTACTTTAATACAAGAGAAAGCATTATTTAATCCAACCTATTACAATAATAAAGATACCTTTGTGAACCGGCACTTGATTTTGTTAACAAAATACGTCCAATGCCACATGGGACCCATGATAGTTCAATTCACTACAAATGAATTACTTAGCGTTTAGTAAGTAGGTTATAACATCTGTCCTATTATACTATTTTCCTTTCTTACTAATATTTTTGTTTTTGCTTGTTTGTTGTTTTTTTTTTTGTTTTATTTTCGTTGGTTTTCCATTTGGGTGCTTTGTTTTTAACAGAGGGAAGGTGGGAGTGAGAGGCATCTCCAATATTACAAAATGCACTGTGCAAAGAACATTATCCCACAAACATGCATCACAATTTTTATGACCCATTGTTGCTTGCTAAGAAATTTCCAACATTGCAATTCAAATTTTGGGTCTTCTTTCTAGTATGATACCATTTGTTTTATTACCTTAGTTGCATATTCTAACAAAATTGTACTTACTTGTCTTCCTTGAATGATAGTATGTCTGTTTTTTCCTTGATAGTCCACTACTTCCACACAGTCCAAGTAAAGATCGACCCAGTAAACCAATTTGTTGACGAGGTCTAGTGCCAGTGCGGCCGGCTGCTCTGTGTCTGAATCGATCACCCTTGTTCTGTTCATCCCATCCATGTCACATCGCTCTACTTTGGCCACATTCCCATAGTCAGTAAAGAAAAGTTTTCTGTTGAAAGAAAACTAAATGTTAAAGTGGAGAGGGGCAGGGAGCAGATTCAATAGAACCATCTGTAAAAAAACAGAACTTTTCCTTCTAATTTATGTCAGTGGTTACATCTGTTAGCATCCCATAACCATTTCCATATAATATCACTCATAAACAGAGAAATCTGCTAATGAATATTGCAGAGCATAAGGGAGCAGGTTAACCAACAACTGTAAAATTTCCCCAAATGAATGATTATGGTGGGTTTATTTTTGTATTAGAGGAAATGTTTCTTTAAGCCTCCTAGAGCCGATACACATACACCACAGGAGATGCATGCAGCCCATTCGGCATAATCCTCAGAAGTGAGCCAGGTCACCAGGCCAGGACATATGAGCTATCAGCCTTTATCTTCAACCTGCTTTTCAAATTGCCGGGTAACGTCTGTCTCCTATAAAAGCTATTATGGGGGGCGCATTGATGCTATGAGTGATAGAGAATAACAAACCTGGAATGGAATTAAGCAGATGGAAAAGCAAATGTGCTGTTTGCAGCTAAGGAAATAAAATATAAGTAATCTGTCCCCCTGCCCACCAACCAGTCCTAAATTCTCCTAAATATTCCTAAATCAAAAAATTTCATAAAGGAAATGCAGGCCATTTCTCCTCACTTTTTCTTTATATATTTTGAAGAAAAGGTTAAGGAGCAATGTGACCCTGAGACAAAAATCATTCTATGTCGCACTAAGAGTCTGTCAAAGATTTAAATACGTCCAATACTTCAATGTCTAGTATTTGATTAGCATTCACTAGGTTTGGTAAACACAAATCAATTTCAGTTAGCCTGCATCATGTTAACAAGATTACTTGCTCATGAGAATAAATTACATTTGTAAATAGAAGACCATCTTTCTTTGACTTAAATACAATCTCAAGAATAATCTGATTTACAGTGACTGAGAAAAATTAAGATTACCTAGAGAATTGAATATTTGATTTTACAAACTTGGTGAATTAGTTTTTAGCTACTTTTCTCAATATCTTTGCATTATCTAACAGTATAAGGCTTCTTTCAAGTTAAAAAGTGCTATTTAAATTTTAATTTAGGTCTTTCTATTGTAGGAGATTTTGACTAATTTTTAAACGTTAATGCATACTGTCCTGTGATGGTGTGAGCTACATTTTATTGTGAGCATATATTTCCCCAAATATTCCTGAAAGATCATTTAATCATAGTAAATTAAAATTATTTTTCAACTGGCATTCAGGTGAAGAGCTATCTACTCTAGTGAAAAATAAATAAAAGGGCATATGCTGCTATGCTTAAACGCTTAAACCTCTGCTTCTAAACTAGTTGCACACACACATTCAGGCTCTATCTCTCTCTCCCGCTGCTTCTACCTTTCATCTCCTCTTTCTTACAAATCAATTTGTTCCTAGCTATCTCAAGTTACTATAACCTATTTTCTCTCTTTCTTACTTAGAACACTTCCCATTACTCCTGTTATATGAAGCTCTCTTTCTGATCATATATCAAAATGCCTCTCCTTTTATAGCTTCCTTTTCTGACTGGTCCATTACACAGAGTGCTGAAAAGATGCTCTTGTGCAGGTAGCTTGGCTTTGAACATAAAGATCTGGAGACTCTGGCCCACTCTGTATAGTGAGTGAAGAATGTATACACCACGTATAGAGAGTGATGAAGCAGGTGATTGCAACTAGCCATATGGTTTTTGAAGAGCAAAGATGAGACTTCTCTGAAGTCATCTTGAGATTACTTAATTAGATTCAATCCCAAAAGGAAAAAAAAAATGAAGAATGCCAAGAAAAGAACCTTGGAGGCATGCTTTTGGAGAAAGAAGACCAAGTGTGATCAGAGTCTATGGTCAGGAGATAACATTGACTTTCTTAGAGGTCTAAGGGAGAGAAGTTTCAGGATAAAGGACTGGGGAGGCTGGCCTGTTCATTCATTTCACAACATTAAAAAAAAGGAATACAGCTTATAAAGATGCCATACAATTTGGTTTTTGTTAAAATACTAGTAATTTTTGGTACTTCTGTTGGAGAAGTTTAGTTATGGGGGAAAAGTAAACCAGACGGTGATGAAGGAAGTAAGAAATATGCAATTTATTTTTCAAAAATTTTTCAGTGATATTCACCTACAATTTCAGGAATAATACAAATGATTCTCATATTTATTCCAGGTCATAATAAGTACAGTTGAGATTATGCTATGTGAATAAGTTTCAACCAAAGTACGAACACGAATATATGATTCATCAAAATTTTACTGCTTAATGGAAGTGTAAAATAAAAAAAAAAGGTAGAATTTTGGTGTGTGAAGTGGCCCTGAGTTAGATTTTGTCTTTGTACCCCCAGCACATTGCAGAATAATGAGTGGCCAATGCAGGAGTGAAAGATGTTCTTTACACCAAGTTGAACCTTCGTACACTACAGAATACAATGATGAGCTCTCTTTACTTATAATTGAAATGCAAGAAATGAAAGAGTTCTCCAGGATAATAGCACTAAGACCACAAAACTGCAAGCAGTAGGTACCCTTGGTCATATGATTACATAGGTGTGTCTTTGCTTGTTTTAGTGCTGCTTAATTTTAGTTTAAGATTTCCTACTGCTGTTACAGAGAAAAGCTTTATTCTCAGGGTGTTCTTTAATTGAAGCATGGCTGTATTATAACTAATAAATGAAAGCTAAGGTTTTAACCTATCTAAAATCTAACTAAATTTCATTTGAGATATAAGTGTTGCTGGGTTGAAAAATTTCTTTCCTATAAAATATTTGTCCAAATCCTAGAAAGAGTAAATAGTGTTCGGTGAGCTCCCTTATCTCACTGATCCTTATAATTAGCTGTGAGATAAAAGGGCAGGTTATTTCTATTTTACAGATGAAATGGGCTCAAAGTCCACGTGGTTAGCCAGTGTCAGAGCCATTAACACAAATGTTTGTCATGGCTTTTGTTTTTCTCTCATTATTTTGAAATAATTTCAAATTAACAGAAAAGTTATAAGAATAAAAAGTATTCTATAACAGATTATAAGAATAGCAGAATGAATGCCTACGTCCTTCACCTAGATTCACCATTTGTTCACTTTTTGTTCCTCTATTTCTAGTACTGTCTCGCACTGTCTGATGGTAAGTTGCAGATATCATGACGTACACCCAAGAACTTCAGCCTGCATCCCATAAGTGCAAGGGCATTCACTCGCACACCACAGTTCACCTGTCAAAACCAATACTTTTAATACTGATATGATGTATAGTTTTTATTCTAATTTTGCATGTTGACCAATGTCCTATATAGAATTTTTTGTTTTTCATATTACCTTTTCTAAAGGGTATAGAGTTGTTTTGAAAAAAAAGCCCTATTTTGAGTTTGCCTCTCAAAAGTAGATTATGTTATGCTTTTAAACTGAAATGCAATAGTTTTGTATTTTATTGTTACCGACCTTGGGCTTAGAAACCATGGGTAAGCCTACACTCTGCTCTCAGAAATTCTGTAAGAAGGAGCACAGATGGTGGTTTGGAATCTCATTTCTCCATTTTATTCGATATTTTCTGAACTTTTATCTCTTAACTCCCAGAGTCCTGAGTCAGGCTTTCAGCCTCTCCTTCCTCCAGGACCCAAGTACCTTGGGCTGTTTCTAACACAGCAGGACCCCCAGGACAGCACTCTGCCTGTGGAACTCCCAGTGGATGTGGGAGACCATTCCAGATCTGTCCTGTGCCCCATTCCCTCATGCTTTATATAATGACATTTATTCTCTTGTGGTATCAATTATATTTTATTCTCCAGCATAAAGGAGAAATTAAGCTGAGATTGTTATTCTTCTGTTCTTTACTTATTTTTTGAATGCCATTCTATCTGATGGCTGCTAACACAAAAATTTAAATTCAAATAATATCCCAACTACTGTCTGTATTTCTAAGATGTGTCTGACTATTGGTTAGTAAAGGACAGGAGCATTTCTTTCACACTTTCTGTTATTCATCCAGCTCATTATTCTTATAACTCAGCATCTGTAGTAAATAGGTGTTTAACATCTTGTCTCCCTTCTCTCATCAGATACAGGAAACCATATCTGACATCATTGTTGATTATATAAGTAGTCCTGTTTTATTATAGATAAATTAAGTCTTATGAAGTTGAAAATTGCCAGAGACTTGAGCATTGTTGGTAAAGTTGCCTGACATACATCAGAAGTCACAAAGGGAGCAGTCACAGTCAGTGACAGAGCACTGGGCTTATGGAGGTATGGCTCCGATCATCTTGCTCCACACACTCTAAAGAAAAGCAATCGTTACACATACTGACATCTTAAACCATGTATTTTTTTTCCCTTAAATTATATAAAAAGACTCACTGTTGCCAGTGATGCCCATTTTAAATGATGCCTCTGTACTTCTGTACTTTGTCCAAAAGGACAAAGGGGAATTTAAACACATCAGAGTACTGTCCACAACCTTGAACTTCACAGTCAACCCTGTTTTTTTGTCACCATCCCTATCCCTAACATTTAGGCTGTAGATGAATGATAGAATTTAGAAATTTTCAGAGTTCTCACAATGAAATTACCTACCATTCTTTTTAACTGCTTAAACATGAGGTTAGATAACAAGATTTTTGTTAGGTTATATATGAGAGAGGAATGAGACATGAAAGTAGGGGCCACAGATTGCCAATTTAAACAACAAAAAAAATCATTGTTTTGATTAAGGCCTAGCAAATCTTCCATGTTCATTGATCATGTATTAATACAGATAACTATATTTCAGGAAAATGATATGCATTTTCCTTATCAAGGATCACATTAGAAGCTTTATTGTTCAGTCTTGTTTTTAGAATCATTGTGTTACCCAAGCAACATCAATAGTAACAAAATTTGATTTTTTTCTTCCATTGTGTATAAGAAAATTGGACAAGAAAGCCATTTACCACATTATACAGGGTAATTAAAGTATACTCAGAATTAAATTAGAAATATTAAATACTGAACATCACAAT